AGCCCCTCCAGAGGTAAGAAGCAGGATTGAAGACCAGCTGGAGGAGCTGCAGCAGCTTTTTATACTCTCTTGCCATGTGGTCTTTCTTTCTTTGTCCCAAGGACAAGCTGTCCATCACATGGCCTGGAAAACCCTCAGAGTTCTGTCCATCGGCAGGTCCCTGCATACCTTGCTGAGTCACGAGGCATGTCTGCCTTCTCTCATTGGGTCACTTGTATAGCTGATGGTCCTTAATGGGCCATCAAACAGGCTAGGCAGAGCTGACACCAACTTGTCTGGGGTGTCACCCAGAAGCATAGCATAAGTTTGGAATACAGACAGTATAGAGCCAATACTTATATCTTTAAATACAAAATGATACATGCAAACAGATAGCATAATCCTAACCAGCAAACCATAACCTCATCTTAGACACCTTATTTGACCCCCTTTATACAAGATTTGGTGCCACTACAGGACCTTGGTTGCAACAATGTTCTATACGGTCCCAGTTCAAGTCAATAATGTCACAAGGTGGTAATGGGTAAGGCCAGTGCTGCGCATAGCAGGGCTGTGAATGCTTGGAGCGATGAGTCTTAGGCTTCATAGTGTTCCATGTAGGTCTCATCTGTGATGGGGATGAACACAGAGAAGCGGTTGTCCTGCACGTCTCCTTCCTCACCACTATGCATGGAGATCGGTGCAGGAGATGAAGGATAGTACCACGCTATGTAACTCGGGGAGTGTTCGGTTTTGAGCAGTGGTGACTGTGGTGCAGAAGAAACTGCTATGTCAGTATGATGTAGCAGTTGCATTGGTCCCGCCTCGGGGTTGCAGTCGACCATTTGAGCCCTGACCAGTGCCGGATTCAGTTTGTTAGCCGACATCAAGTCTGGAGCTGGTGCCAGTGGTGGCAGCATTGATTGCATTGCCGCTGCCTGTGTTGCATGCCACACTGGGATAGTCAGTGCCATGGAGGAGACTTGACGTCTCAACTCCGGTGCTGCATTTTGGGGCTTGGCAGAGGTCCGCTGACAGATGGTGCTGGAGGAGCCCAGTGCCTTATAAGTGCTCTTTCTGGATGAGTGGAGCACAGAGGGTAAAGACCTTGCTGGAGAAGCTCTCTTTTTGTGAGAGTTCCTTGGAGAGGTCGAGGCTCGCCTCCTGATAGTTTTGGAAGTCGGAACCTTATCGTAGCTTAGGAATCTCGGTTTATGAGACTCCCCGGAGAACGTCTCTTGCAGCGGTTGGAGGGATTTCTCCACCAGAAGCATTTTCAAATGGAGATCCCTATTAAGTCTTGCTCTTGACTTCAAATTGCTGCAGTGTATGCATTTCTGGGAGATATGAGTTTATCCCAGACACTGTATGCAGGATGCGTGGCTGTCAGAGACCGGCATCGGTTCATGGCAGGAGTCACATTTTTTAAACCCTGTTGAGCCCAGCATGACTTCAGTTAAGCCTCTCCCCTGCTCAATAGATGAGGATGGGAGTTAATTGAAGTGGTAAACCGTAGAGCTATTCCTAAACGGACAACTAAGTAAAGAATTTGTTGTTGTTGTTGAAGAAGAAAAACCTGTAAGAGGAACTAACAAAACTATGTAACTATATACAGACTGGTTTCAGAGTAGCAGCCGTGTAGTCTGTATCTGTAAAAAGAAAAGGAGTACTTGTGGCACCTTAGAGACTAACAAATTTATTTGAGCATAAGCTTTCGTGGGTTACAGCTCACTTCATTGGATGTATTCAGTGGAAAATACAGTGGGGTGATTTATATACACAGAGAACATGAAACAATGGGTGTTACCATACAGACTGTAACAAGAGTGATCAGGAAAGGTGAGCTATTACCAGGAGGAGAGCGGTGGGGGCGGGGGGAAGAGGCGGGGGAACCTTTTGTAGTGATAATCAAGGTGGGCCATTTCCACCACTTTACAAGAACAGTAAGAGGGGAAATAAACAAGGGGAAATAGTTTTACTTTGTGTAATGACACATCCACTCCCAGTCTTTATTCAAGCTTAAGTTAATTGTATCCAGTTTGCAAATTAATTCCAATTCAGCAGTCTCTCGTTGGAGTCTGTTTTTGAAGTTTTTTTGTTGAAGAATTGCCACTTTTAGGTCTGTAAGCAAGTGACCAAAGAGACTGAAGTGTTCTCCGACTGGTTTTTTAATGTTATAATTCTTGACATTTGATTTGTGTCCATTTATTCTTTTACGTAGAGACTGTCCAGTCTGGCCAATGTACATGATGGCATATATCACACTGATAGATGTGCAGGTGAACGAGCCTCTGATAGTGTGGCTGATGTGATTAGGCCCTATGATGGTGTCCCCTGAATAGATATGTGGACACAGTTGGCAACGGGCTTTGTTGCAAGGATAGGTTCCTGGGTTAGTGTTTCTGTTGTGTGGTTGCTGGTGAGTATTTGCTTCAGGTTGGGGGGCTGTCTGTAAGCAAGGACTGGCCTGTCTCCCAAGATCTGTGAGAGTGATGGGTCATCCTTCAGGATAGGTTGTAGATCCTTGATGATGCGTTGGAGAGGTTTTAGTTGGGGGCTGAAGGTGATGGCTAGTGGTGTTCTGTTATTTTCTTTGTTGGGCCTGTCCTGTAGTAGGTAACTTCTGGGTTCCTCAGTTCTCGTCCTCAGTTCTCGTCCCCTAATCTACTTGATGAAGATGTCATCAATGTAGCGCAAGTAGATTAGGGGACGAGAACTGAGGAAGCGTTGTTCTAAGTCAGCCATAAAAATGTTGGCATACTGTGGGGCCATGACGGTACCCATAGCAGTGCCACTGATGTGAAGGTATACATTGTCCCCAAATGTGAAATAGTTATGGGTGAGGACAAAGTCACAAAGTTCAGCCACCAGGTTTGCCGTGACATTATCGGGGATACTGTTCCTGACGGCTTGTAGTCCATCTTTGTGTGGAATGTTGGTGTAGAGGGCTTCTACATCCATAGTGGCCAGGATGGTGTTTTCAGGAAGATCACCGATGGATTGTAGTTTCCTCAGGAAGTCAGTGGTGTCTCAAAGATAGCTGGGAGTGCTGGTAGCGTAGGGCCTAAGGAGGGAGTCTACATAGCCAGACAATCCTGCTGTCAGACTGACAGAGCCAGAAGAGAACCCAGAAGTTACCTACTACAGGACAGGCCCAACAAAGAAAATAACAGAACACCACTAGCCATCACCTTCAGCCCCCAACTAAAACCTCTCCAACGCATCATCAAGGATCTACAACCTATCCTGAAGGATGACCCATCACTCTCACAGATCTTGGGAGACAGGCCAGTCCTTGCTTACAGACAGCCCCCCAACCTGAAGCAAATACTCACCAGCAACCACACACCACACAACAGAAACACTAACCCAGGAACCTATCTTTGCAACAAAGCCCGTTGCCAACTGTGTCCACATATCTATTCAGGGGACACCATCATAGGGCCTAATCACATCAGCCACACTATCAGAGGCTCGTTCACCTGCACATCTATCAGTATGATATATGCCATCATGTACATTGGCCAAACTGGACAGTCTCTACGTAAAAGAATAAATGGACACAAATCAAATGTCAAGAATTATAACATTAAAAAACCAGTCGGAGAACACTTCAGTCTCTTTGGTCACTTGCTTACAGACCTAAAAGTGGCAATTCTTCAACAAAAAAACTTCAAAATCAGACTCCAACGAGAGACTGCTGAATTGGAATTAATTTGCAAACTGGATACAATTAACTTAGGCTTGAATAAAGACTGGGAGTGGATGTGTCATTACACAAAGTAAAACTATTTCCCCTTGTTTATTTCCCCTCCTACTGTTCTTGTAAAGTGGTGGAAATGGCCCACCTTGATTATCTCTACAAAAGGTTCCCCCGCCTCTTCCCTCACCCCCTTCCTGCTGGTAATAGCTCACCTTTCCTGATCACTCTTGTTACAGTCTGTATGGTAACACCCATTGTTTCATGTTCTCTGTGTATACAAATCTCCCCACTGTATTTTCCACTGAATGCATCCGATGAAGTGAGCTGTAGCTCATGAAAGCTTATGCTCAAATAAATTTGTTAGTCTCTAAGGTGCCACAAGTGCTCCTTTTCTATATACAGACTAATACTAATGAAACTATGCAACTAAGTATAGATTAATAAGAAGTTCCTATGTAACTTGTAATTCCCCCCCCCCAGAATGTATCAAAGAGAGTACTGCCGCGGAGCTCAATCTGCAGCCAAGGTCAGTTGAGAAGGAACTGAGGTGACGGTCAGGGGTGCACGCACTACAGGAGGCGCCAACAGCTGCACGAGACAGCTCCTGTGCACGCCCTTCTCCCGACTGAGTACTGCTGCGAAAAATCTCCAGCACAGGGATGCACTGACATCTAGAGTGGAGCACCCACAGGGACACCACTCGAAGAAGAACCTGCATCATGTGATGCCGTACCTGTCCCATGAGGCATTGCAAACCGTTCCCAAAGCACCCTGCAGGCAATTGCACAGTGGGATAGCTACAGGTGCATTGCTCTTTGTGTCAATGCAAGAGCTGTTAGCAAGGATGCACTCTCCTGACATCAGGAGCTAGTGTGGACACGCAACAGCGGTTTTAAAGTGGCATAACTTTTGCCGACAAAACTTTGTAGTGTAGACAAGGGCTAAGTATGGCCTACATTCTTTCTTCCTAGATGTATACATTTATATTTAGCTATATTAAAACTCATACTGTTTACCTGCCCCCAGTTTACCAAGAGACTGAGATCACCCTGAATCAGTGACCTGTCCTCTTCGTTAATTACTACGCCCCCAATTTTTGGTTCATCTGAAGACTTTATCAGCAATAATTTTATGTTTTCTTCCAGGTCATTGATAACTATGTTAAATAGGATACCTTCTAGAGAGCCCAACCTCACTTAAGAAGTGGCCCCCCAGGAGCACATCTCTCCCACCCATACCCCCATGGGCCCTGGATCACACACCATCTCTTTCACCCACATGAGACAGAGTGCCATTTTGTACCCTAAAAAGTACTTACCTTCCCTGCATAGTGAATGATGCTGAACCCTAGCACACGGCCCCTACATGGCTGGAAGTGTGAGTTCCCCTTGAAGGTGCTGTTCAGTTTATCCACAAAGGTTTTATCAGTCGCCTGCAACACAAGAGATTTCATAGTAAAATCCCACAAAATGAGAAATTAATAGTAATTATTTATACAGCATCTCCATTCCCACCAAGACACTGGGCAGGGATCTACAACTGACTAGAAACACATTTCAATACAATACAAATACAATAAAAGCCACCCTAAAAGCTGAGACAGTGATGAAGAGAATTCTTGTCTATGCAGCAACTCCCTCTACCAACAGCTACTTAGCCTTTCTGCAAATGCCCATACTGTAAATCCACCCACTAGCTTCCCAGATTGGCATCCACCCACATTTGAACAAAGAGATGTGTCGGATTCTCCGTCAATTGAAGTCTTTAAATCAAGATTTAATGGATCTTTTAGGAAGAGATTCACACAATCTCAGTCACAGGTTACTGGGCTCAGTGAAGGAGTTACTGGGTGAAATTCTGTGGCCTGTGTTATGCAGCAGGTCCTTTCAGTTTGTCTATTATGTGTTGCACAGAGATGATGCCATATCCCAGGTACAGCTACAATATTCCAAAGTGAAACTATATGAATGGTGGAATCTTCATTCTTAGAGGTTTTTAGGGCCTGGCTTGACTCCTGGGTTGATTTTGTTGGGGTTGGTTCTGCTTTGAGCGTGGGGTTGGACTAGATGACCTCCTGAGGTCTCTTCCAACCGTAATCTTCTATGATTCTATGGTCTAATGTTCCTCTCTGACTTACAGATCTTTGAACTCTAAATGGCATAACGAAAGAGGCAAAGACCCTGATTCTGCAAACACTTATACACATATTTAACTTTACACACGAGTGGTCCCATTGAAATCAAGTGGGCTATCTGTATGATCAAAACCTAAAGCAAATTTGGGGGAATTAAAAAATAAATAAATAAAATAAAATAAAAAAATCTAATAGGCTTGGTACATTGTGAGGAAGGATAAAAATCTACCAGGTCAGCTGGAGAATACTAAAACTCCTTAAAGTGCTCAGGGTGTAATTCCTTTGGGGAAAAAATGCAAAGAGCAGCAGCAGCCAACATGACTTCACAGGGAGCTAGCTTCAAAGATTTGGGGAATGTAATCGAATAATGCCAAAAGTAAATGGAAATCAGCATAAAAATGTATCACTCTTCGGTAAGGAAATGTTTCACTTGCTGTTACTTCAAGTATCAGGCAAGATGCTATAGGATTATCCGTGAAAATGATATTTCTTTGCGTCTGGTTTGTTCACTTTGTACGCTTAGCATCTACACTGATATTTTTTGACATTCTCCACTATCTCTCAAGTCCCAGCTCTACTGATAGGTACAGAAATGCTGGGCTGGGACGGCATGCTTCTGTCCCGAGTAAGTAGGTCAGCTGACAATGGGATGCAGAGGTGAGAATGAGTGGACAGCTGGAGTAACACAGGGAACCAGAATTGCCTTGACCATATTGGTATCACCAGGATGACTTTTGCCTTGCCTTGCCTGACCTTTACCAGCACTTTCAGCAGCTGGGGAATTGGAAGAAATGTGTATATCAGATGATCCAATCATTTAAGCAGGAAGGCATCTCTGGTTGAATTTGGGCCTCAAGCATCCCTGGAACAGTATCTCTGACAATCCCTGTTTTCGCTTGATGGAGACAGATCCCTGAACAGAAGACCCCAATGAAAGAATATATTCTGTGTCACCTGGTCTTGTAGTTCCCACTCATGGTCCCCAGAAAAATGCCTGCTAAGCCTGTCAGCTAACATGGTTTGTTCCCCCGTACGTGAACCGCAGACAGTGCGAGGTGATGGTGAATGAGCCAGTTCCAGAGGTTGTCACTTCTGTGCTCAAGTGAGAGGATCTTGCTTTGCCCAACTTGTTGATATAGCAGACAGCTTTCATATTGTCTGACAATCTGCATGTGCTGATTCTAGATCAGAAGCAAGCAGCGTTTTCATGATTCATACACAACTTTCAGCTCTAGCATGTTGATAATGTGTCTCAATGGGGACAAAGTGCCCTGAGCTACACGGCCCTTTATATGGGCTTCTCATCCCAACAGAAATGTCACTTTTTTTTTTACTGGAAAAGAAGGGGGTTAATAGGATTCCCATACAAATGTTCTGTCTCTCCTTCCACCAGTTCAGTGAGTGGAGATTTCACCAACGTGCCATGATCAACATGTCTAGACTGTGTTGGCCTGGTGCGTACGCCTGCTTGAGCCATGCCTGAATGCAATGTAGATGAGTCTCACAAACAGGGTTACATGTGTGAATGATGCCATGTGTCCCAAGCAAACAAGGCAAAATTGCACATGTCTGAGGGGTTGCTGCAGGTGATAGATCAAGCTGTGTGTAATTTGGAATCTCTCGAGAAGACAGTATGTTCACTCTGTGGTGAGCTCCAATCTTGCCACAATAATTCTAAAGTCCATAGGGTTAAAGTGGCCTTTTCTGTGTTTAGGCTGAGATGTTGGAATAAGAGCCTCAGGGTGCACGTGGACTCTTGCACTAACTGTTATGTTCAACTTTTGATTAACCAGTCAAAGTAAGGAAATATTGATACACCTTGACGTTGTAGATGGGTTGCCACTACAGCCAGAACCTTTGTAAATACTCTTGTTGCAATCAAAAGGAGGTGACCAGCCCTCTGTGGAGAAAGAAGTGGTTCGGGACTATTTAGAAAAGCTGGATGAGCACAAGTCCATGGGGCCGGATCCGCTGCATCCGAGAGTGCTAAAGGAGTTGGTGGATGTGATTGCAGAGCCATTGGCCATTATCTTTGAAAACTCATGGTGATCGGGGGAGGTCCCAGATGACTGGAAAAAGGCTAATGTAGTGCCCATCTTTAAAAAAGGGAAGAAGGAGGATCCTGGGAACTACAGGCCAGTCAGCCTCACCTCAGTCCCTGGAAAAATCATGGAGCAGGTCCTCAAGGAATCAATTCTGAAGCACTTAGAGGAGAGGAAAGTGATCAGGAACAGTCAGCATGGATTCACCAAGGGCAAGTCATGCCTGACTAGAATCATAGAATATCAGGGTTGGAAGGGACGTCAGGAGGTCATCTAGTCCAACCCCCTGCTCAAAAGCAGGACCCATACCCAATTAAATCATCCCAGCCAGGGCTTTGTCAAGCCTGACCTTAAAAAACTTCTAAGGAAGGAGATTCCACCACCTCCCTAGACTAATCTAATTGCCTTCTATGATGAGATAACTGGCTCTGTGGACGAAGGGAAAGCAGTGGACGTGTTGTTCCTTGACTTTAGCAAAGCTTTTGACACAGTCTCCCACAGTATTCTTGCCAGCAAGTTAAAGAAGTATGGGCTGGATGAATGGACTATAAGGTGGATAGAAAGCTGGCTAGATTGTCGGGCTCAATGGGTAGTGATCAATGGCTCCATGTCTAGTTGGCAGCCGGTATCAAGTGGAGTGCCCCAAGGGTCGGTTTTGTTCAATATCTTCATAAATATCTGGAGGATGGTGTGGATTGCACCCTCAGCAAGTTTGCAAATGACACTAAACTGGGAGGAGTGGTAGATACGCTGGAGGGTGGAGATAGGATACAGAGGGACCTAACAAATTGGAGGATTGGGCCAAAAGAAATCTGATGAGGTTCAACAAGGACAAGTGCAGAGTGCTGCACTTAGGACGGAAGAATCCCATGCACCGCTACAGACTAGGGACCGAATGGCTCGGCAGCAGTTTGGCGGAAAAGGACCTAGGGGTTACAGTGGACGAGAAGCTGGGTAGGAGTCAACAGTGTGCCCTTGTTGCCAAGAAGGCCAATGGCATTTTGGGATGTATAAGTAGGGCCTTTGCCAGCAGATCTAGGGACGTGATCGTTCCCCTCTATTCGACATTGGTGAGGCCTCATCTGGAGTACTGTGTCCAGTTTTGGGCCCCACACTACAAGAAGGATGTGGAAAAATTGGAAAGAGTCCAGCGGAAGGCAACAAAAATGATTAGGGGACTGGAACACATGACTTATAAGGAGAGGCTGAGGGAACTGGGGATGTTTAGTCTTCAGAAGAGAAGAATGAGGGGGGATTTGATAGCTGCTTTCAACTCCCTGAAAGGGGGTTCCAAAGAGGATGGCTCTAGGCTGTTCTCAGTGGTAGCTGATGACAGAACAAGGAGTAATGGTCTCAAGTTGCAGTGGGGGAGGTTTAGGTTGGATATTAGGAAAAGCTTTTTTACTAGGAGGGTGGTGAAACACTGGAATGAGTTACCTAGGGAGGTGGTGGAACCTCCTTCCTTAGAGGTTTTTAAGGTCAGGCTTGAGAAAGCCCTGGCTGGGATGATTTAGTTGGGGATTGGTCCTGCTTTGAGCAGGGGGTTGGACTAGATGACCTCCTGAGGTCCCTTCCATCCCTGATATTCTATGATTCTATGAAAAGGCTGAATGGGAGCACTCTATTGGCAGTGGTTCATATTGATGAACCGCAGGAACATTCTGTATTCCAAGTGAATGTGTAAATGAAAATAAAAGTGTCCTTGAGGTTGAGTGCTGTTACCCAATAGTCTTAATCCAGAGATTGGATTACCGGGGATAAAGTGACTATAATCTCAGACATCTAATGTAAGTGTTCAGTAGTGTGAGGTGCAGAAAAGGCCTCCATCCACCTTTCTTTTTGGGGATGAGGAAATATCTTTTAGTAGAAACCCTTCCCTATGTGCTGAGGATGTACTGGTTCTTTGGCTCCTAGTTGGAGGAGGGATTCCACCTCTTCAGTGAGCATCCTCTTGTGAGAAGGGTTCCTGAAAAAGGATAGGGTAGCTCGGTGGAGGATAGGGATAGAACAAAATTGCATAGGGGATCCTGAAGAGATTATTTCCAACACCAATTTGTCCATTGTTATGGATTCCCACTTCGGGTGAGGCAACCTCCAAATGGAGGTAGAAAGACCAGAAAGGAATGTTGGATTTGATGGATTAATTGGTCTGCAGGTCTCAAGGGTCCTGTTGTGACTGTCTGACCTACAAAATGTTCCCTTATCGTAAGATCAAATGTAAGAAGTGAGTGAAAGTTCATAAAATGTTACAATAAC